TGGTTGGAGGGTCTTGAGTGCTTCGGTCACGGTGCGAACCCTCGTCCTAGTTAACAGTATTGCAGGGGCACATTGTTAGGCAGGAGAAGGGCGGAGAATTTGGCGTGAGGCCGTCGCACACGCTCATCTTACAATCCCCCTGTTTCTCCCACCAAACCTTATTCACGGGACCAACCAGAACCTTACTCCACACCGACGCGTCGACTCCTGGAGACCCCCCCCGTCCTCACGCACCTTAGCCTTTAACTCCCCGACACTCCCACCCTGTCCGAAAAGAATCCTCAGCAGCCTCATCACGGCACCTCCTCCCTGGGGGGGGAAGAAGAAGAGGGGAAGGGAGGGGGGGAGGAGGAGAGGGGTGCAGGTGCTAAACGTGAAAGCCCATGCCACATTGACCCTTCTGACTAGAGCCCTGGTCTTACGCTGTTCCCGCGGAAGGTCGGAGCTCCGGTCGTCTAACCTCCTCTCGCTGTGTCTCCTCCTCTCCCTCAAGGATAGCTTCCTTCGCCCCCTGCGAGGAGGAGGAGGCGAAGAGATCAGGCCGATGAGGATTCTTCTCGGACTGAGTGGGAGTGTCGCGGCGATCAAGGCCAAGGAGCTTGTGGAAGGGCTCGGAGGAGCGGAGAGAGTGCGAGTGGTGGTCACGGGACGAGCGACGTCCTTCTTCGATGTGGACGAGGTTTGTACAGCGACGGGAGTCAAAGTCTACACGGACGAGGACGAGTGGGGAGCATGGAAGCAGCGAGGGGATCCGGTGCGGGTGAGTCCAGCAGGTGAGCAAGTCGCTTCCTTACGTCCTCCAGCACATCGAGCTGAGCCAGTGGGCGGACGTTCTGGTCATAGCCCCTCTGTCGGCCAACACCTTGGCCAAGCTATCATGGGTGAGAAAGAATGTTTGCTAGAGAAGATTTAGGAGCAAGCAGGAGCAGGAGCAGGAGCAGGAGCAGGAGCAGGAGCAGGAGCAGGAGCAGGAGCAGGAGCAGGAGCAGGAGCAGGAGCAGGAGCAGGAGCAGGAGCAGGAGCAGGAGCAGGAGCAGGAGCAGGAGCAGGAGCAGAAGGAGACGGGGCGGAGGAGAAGAGGAGGCAACCTCACGTGCATTTCTACAGGGCATGGCTGACAATTTGCTCACAAGCATTGCGCGAGCATGGGACTTCAGGAAACCGATGGTCCGTTTTCACAAAGCTGCTGCTGCTGCTGCTGCTGCTGCTGCTGCTGCTGCTGCTGCTGCTGCTGCTGCTGCTGCTGCTGCTCCCCCAACCCGCCTTCCCCGCCCACCCTTCACCTGTCTCCTTCATCACTGGTTCGCTACAGATTGCTGCTCCTGCCATGAACACAGCAATGTGGCATCACCCGATCACGTCTGGACAAATTCAGAGCATGATGCGATGGGGTGAGAATGTGGCTACGAGTTCTGTTGCTGACTTCCATCCTAGGTGCTCTCTTCCTTCAACCTGTTCGCAAGGTGCTCCTCCTCTTGATTCAGGACGCAACCCTCACGCCGTGCGGCAGGTTCTTGTCTGTGGGCAGGACGGGGTGGGAGCGATGGCGAGTGTGGAGAGCATCGCCGCTGTAACCTTCTTCCTCCTCCTCCACGGATCACGCGCGAGTCTGCCCCTCCAGCTGCAGGCGCTTGTAATTCCTGCATGCAAGGAGGGAGAGGAGGCGTGCAAGAGAGAGGAGTGAGGAGGAGCTGAGGAAAGAGCAGGGGGGAAGCTAAGAGGGTTGACGGCAAATGAACGAGAGCAGAAGCAAACCCTTTAAACTGCGTTATGCTCAAGATTAGATAAGAAGCCTGAGTACGAGGAATGGGGTAAGGGTGAGAGGACGACGACGACGACGACGACGACGACGACGACGACGAGGAGGAGGAGGAGGAGGAGGAGGAGGAGGAGGAGGAGTTAAATCAAGCCTTTCTCAGTCAACCAGGATGTGACGGCTGCCATGGTCTCAGAAGAGACTGAGAGTAGGGGCGGACGGCACGCACAGGACTTCTTGTTGCTGGAACCACCAGCTGGATCAGAGCTGGCAGTGGAATGGGGAAAACACCTCCTCATTCTCAGCACCACTGCAGCCTTGGTACAAGGGATCTCTCCTTCATCCCGGGAGGACACGAACTGATGCCAGCTCTGGATCTAAGGGAAACGTCAGAAACGTCACCTAGTCCGGGCCTCAGTTACCAGCTCTCGACTCTCATCTTCCCCAGATGACTCGACGTCTTCTTGTCCTCCTTCTGTACAGCATCACATGCTCCGGTACTCGCTTCAGCACATCCTCCTCCTCACCTCTGTATCGTTTGCTAATGTCAATGAGGCTCTCAGGTAGCACGTTGCATGCTCCTGTCACGCTCCCGCTCAAGCCGCTCCTCAACACCTTGTCTGCGATGTTGTCGTTGCCAACGTACACCTGCAGGCCTGGAGCTGCTTCCTTGAACGAAGTTGCAGTCTCGAGCGATCCGGAGCTGTCCTTGATGCCGATGATGCGATCAGGATACTTTCCCACCAACGTCTTGAGCATGGCGGGAGTGATGCTGTTTCCAGTGTGGCGAGGAAAGTTGTAGAGGTAGCAGGGGAGAGGACAGCTGTCGAGGACGGCGCAGAGAAATCTCTCGATGCCTGCAGCACTAGCAGAGGCATAGTAGAAGGGAGGGAGGAGCAGCACAGCATCGCACCCTACCTCCTCTGCATGCCTGCACAGTTCGATGCAATCTTGCTGGGCGCATGCGCTGACATGGGCGATGACGTACGCTGACTGCATTTCCTTCCTCACCAGCGCCATCATCTCCTTCCTCTCCTGCATCTGCATGGAGCAAAACTCTCCTGTCGTCCCTCCACAGATGACGTTCTGCACTCCCTGCATCCCATCAAGGCTAGTCAGACACCAGCATGGCGGGCCAGCCAGCAGTCACCTTGGATGCGAGAAAGTTCATCATCCTCTTCATCTCCTCCTCGTCCACCTTCTCCCCCTCCTCCTCCATCATCGTCAAGAGCGCAAAAACTGGCCCCGCCGCCATTCCCCGACAGATTCCCCGAAGGGATCCCTACCCCACATTTCTATACCCCAATTGAGGCCTTTGAGAGGGTAGTACCTCCTCCATGGCATGTTCGGCCAGGTGATAGTTGGAGCGCCTGGTAGCGGCAAGACGACGTTCAGCAGAGGCGTGAAGGACTTTCTCAACTCCATCGAGAGGTCCTCGATGCTTCTCCCCTCCCCTCCCCTTCCCTTCCCTTCCCTTCCTCTTCTTCCCCTTCACCCTTCGTATGTATGGCCATCTCCTCCCTCCCTTCCTTATTTCTTCTTCCACTCTTCCTCCCTCCAATTGTCGATCCCTTACCAGCTCCCTCGTTCCTCTTCTTTTAACCCATCATCCACCTATCTTCACAATGCCAACTCTCCTTCCACTTCCCCCCTCCCCCCATATCCCTTCCTGCGTTCTGATTCTCGACCCTCACGACGAGACCTGCAGACCGACGGTGATCGTGAATCTCGATCCCGGCAACGATGTTCTCCCTTACGAGGCAGCTGTCAACATCATGGACCTCATCAGCCTCGACGAGGTTATGGACGAGCTCCAGCTAGGACCCAACGGAGGTCGGAAGGTTGCGGGTTGCTTGCTCGAATGACGAGAGGGGAGGCAGGGCTTATCTACTGTGTGGAGTACATGGAGAAGAACCTTGACTGGCTCAAGGAGCAGCTCGAGCAGCACTGCAAGGGTGCGGATGAGGAAGAGGAGGAAGGGAGGAGGCGAGGAGAGGAGAGGAGAGGAGAGGAGAGGAGGGAGGGAGGAGGGTAGAGCGGGAGTGAGGAGTAAGGAGGAAGGAAGGGGGAGGGGAGGGAGGAAGGAGAGGGGAGTGAGAAGGGGAAGTGAAGAGGGGATGAGGAGGAAGGAGGAAGGAAGGGGAGGGGAGGGAGGAGGATTGACGACTGATGCGTTGAAGCAGACCAGTACGTCTTGTTCGACTGCCCGGGTCAAGTGGAGATCTATACCCACCACACTTCCATGAGAAACATTCTAGCAGCGTTCAACGACTGGGGATGGCAGGTTGGAGGAGGAGGCCAGGGGTGGCAAGGACATGGTCCTCGTCCTAGGAGGAGGCGGGGGGTTAGGGAGAGAGAGAGTGCTGAGGAGGAGGAGGAGTTGATTGTCCTCGTGGTAGTAGAGGGTGTTATGTAGTGATTGAGGAGGATCGAGCAGGGAAGGTCTGACGGCCATGTCAGCTCTGTGTGGTTCATCTCGTGGACGCCCACCACTGCTCGGACGCCTCCAAATTCGTCGCTGCTTCGCTGGTTAGAAGATTCGGTACACCTGCGGCTCTGAGATGTCGCAGATGTCTCTTGCCTCCATGACGATGCTCGAGGTGACAGTCCCCTGCTGCCTCGCTGCCTGTGATGAGCAGCCTCTCAGCTACCTCACGTCAACATCCTGTCAAAGATCGATCTAGTCCAGCGACTCGGAAGACTCGGTCTGTTTGACTTGTCTCTCCCCTTACTCATCCGCACACTGCAGACTTCAACCTCGATTACTACACGTCTGGCTACGAGCTTGCGCGCCTCCCTGAACTTCTGGTGCCGGTCAGTTCTGAGCCGAGAGGTCTTAACGCGGTCTGTGGCAGAGCAAGAAGGAAGGGGTTCACAAGGTTGCAGAGCAGGAGGGGCATGCCGCTGCTTCCAAGTCTGTCCTCGTCGAAGCCCAGAACAGGCTCAGGTAGTGAGGCCACACGCTCTCTGCCGTCTCACCAGTTCTTGCAGGAGGTTTGAAACTGCCATCGCCAATGTCGTAGACGATTTCTCTCTCGTCAACTTCATCCCAACCTCCATCAATGTGAAATCCTCTCCATCCCCATCCCCTCGAGACCTTCTCCTCTTTTCCTTGAGCCCCCGTGCCGCCTGCCCTCTCAGCCCCTTCCTCGCTCCTCTCTCTTATTACATCCCCCCAGGACAAAGACACAATCGCGTACGCGTGCCGCGTAATCGACAAGGCGAATGGCTACCTCTACTGTAAGAGTGAAGACAAGTCATGGAAGGGGAGGAGAGGAAGAGTGACACTGTTTGTGAACCTCAGCGATAGGAAAGCAGATAGATGGGGACACACAGGGGATAGGAAGGGTGAGCTACTGGTTCCCGCCGCCCATGCTGATCTCACACTCACAGGCATTGGAACTGGACGACATCCTGGAATTGATCGAGGAGCGATACATCTTCGACCCAGACGACCCATACGGTCTCATCAGTCTTGTTCCTTATAGCCTCCTTATTCCCTCTTCCTTGTTGCCTCTACCGACCTCTCTACCCTTTTCTTTCTGCCATTATCGTCCCGTCCTCCCCGTGCCCTCATGCGCTCCTTCCCCGAATGATTGCTTGCATCCTAGCATTTAGACTAATGCGGCAGCAGACGAACACTCGAGTGGGACAGAAGAGGAGGAGAGCTGAAGTGATTGGATGAGAGAGGCTCGCTAATGAATCTGTAATGATATGACAAGTGCTTTCTTTGCTGCTACCTCGCCTGAATTAGATATGTAGCTCGGAAAACCAGCGGCAAGCATCGTGATGAAGCAAGAAAGCACTTGCCTATCATTTTGCTTCTTGTGCCCCAGTGTACCCTAAAAGAGCACGATCAGCATTTAGACAAGCTGGCAGGGGACCGAATAAACGTCTAGAGGTTAATGAAAAAGCAAATCCATGGAAACAGAAGAAAAGCAAGGGAGAAGAAATAAGAGGAGCAAACAAAACAATTCTTACTGATATTCTTTCTGACTCCATTCTCCAACTCAGTAATCTTCATGCTTGCGACATCGCGTGAAGCAGCCTTCACCTTGGCCTCAGGCTTCAGGCATCTCCTCACAACTTGAGCGCAGATGTTGGCATAGCGAAGGTAAGAGATTCCAGCTTGACGCCACTCCTGCAGAGAGCGAGTCAACAGATCGGCATCTGACACCTTAGCTTTCGTGCTTCGCTCCCTCCCTCGCTTTGAATTGTAACAGCCGCCAACCCAGAAGAAGATTGTGTTGTAAAACTCGCTCAACATTCGACTCTCAGCAGCATACACCCAGCAGAAGGCACAAGACAATTATCAGCCCCAGCTTGACAATAACTCTTCTATCTTCTTCACGCTTATTTGAAGCCCTTCTGTACTGTTCTACAGTCTCCTCCGCCTCCTTCACTCACTTGAAGACACTCCCATGCGCTCCTCACATCACTCGTGCACTTCTGTTCCTTTCCTGCGTCTGCTTCTCTAAGCGTATTGATAGCATCAATTCACTCCTCCTCCTCCTCCTCCTCTCCCCATTCCCTTCCTCTTCCTCCCGTCCGTTCGCCATCTTCCACTCACCATTTTCTCCTCGTGGACAGCGGCCGTTGTGGGGGGTGGGGTGATCATCAAACATAGGGGTTATGCTTCCAGTACTACCCCTGAATTAAAGCCAACAATCAGCTGAATGACAGGGTAGGGTAAAGCACCTGGACATGGGGTACTACTACTCGAAGGTCAATTACAAAGTGAAGTTGGAGGGAAGGTAGTACTACGAGACTCCGTGGGGGTAGGGGTAGTCAAGATCCCACCCCCTGAATTCATGGGGTGTAGACGATGATCAAAATAAGTGGGGTAGCTAGGGGTGATGGGAGCACCTTGATCAAGGAGATGGGTGGGGTGTTTACATGTACCGCCAATGGGGTGGGTAAAGATTTGGGTAGGGTTGCAGGGTGGAGACTGGGGTGGAGCACTCGGGGGTGGGGGGTGGAGATCTGCTGTCTATGTGAATGGTATGAGCGGGAACGAGGGCCTCAAGTTTGTCTCTAAAATGAGCACTGGTCGAAGAGTGAGACAATGAGGAAGGAGGAGGGGGGAGGGAAGGGGAGGGGAGGGAAGGGAGAAGCCCTGCCGATCCAAGGAGACGAGACGAGACGAGCTTACGGGAAGACAGAAAGGAGAGGAGGGGAAAGAAATCTAGCTGACAACGAATACTATGAGGCAGAGGATACGCAAGGAGTGGGTGCATGTGATAGGGATCAGGTGGGATCGGCGCATGCAAGATGAGGAGAGCACCATTCCTGTATTCATTGACTCAGATTGAAAGAGGAGATACGAGGATGAGGACGAGAGCAGAAGGAAAGTTGCTTGCAAGAGGTGGGCGAAGATGACGAGGCAGGCGTGGGGGACGAGACGAAAGCACGAGAGGGGACGAGACGACAGCAGGCAAGGGGAGACTTATTGGGGCGAGTAGAGAAGCGTTGGACGTAGAACTTGATGACGAGTGAGATGATTGAGAAAGGGCAAGAGGAAGGGCAACCACGGGAGGGAAGAGAGCTATGCTCGAAGTGAGGGATGTTCAAGGGAGCAGTCGAGACAGGAAATGGTATCGAGAATCATCTATTGATTGGAATTGAGACATCTCGATTGATGATATGATGCCATTATTCCGAATGTTCTTGGCTCTTTCGAAATTGCGAGAGAAAGGACTCAGAGACGTGCTTTCATTCATATCAGTATTACAAGTGTACATAGAATGGTTAAACTGCCCACTGAAACACTTCTGATCAGCACTTTCTCACTGTAGGTCTTGACAAGCCTCCGCGAGGGGGAAGTCAATCATGCCCAGGGATGATCGTCTACGAGTGCGCTTGCCTAGTTCCAGTATCTCTCAATTGACTCTTACGTAGGTGTTCGCGCTGTGGATCGGCTACATTTTGCAGGAGAAAGTAGAAAGCATCCTTTGTTTGCAAGATGGCGGCAGATTGTAAGTTTAATGACGTTGAATTCTTGATGCTGATGAATTGTCAGGGCCAAGTTCTTTGAGAACCTGTCAGGGTTGCGGGTAGAAGACATAAAGGATGCCGAGACGCAGCAGGAGAACGTTCAGAACATTCGAGTAATGTCTTGGTTTGTCGTGAACCTCGTGTTGATTCTTGTGTCAGAACGTCTTCGTGGCGATCGAGCGCTCGGGGATCCCTCTCGCGGCTCTGACCTGTAGCGACGAGGAAGTGGTGGAGGGCGATCAGGACATGATACTGTCCTTGATCTGGGATCTCACAGACCACTTCTTCATCTCCCCACAGTTCCCTTCCTCCTCGGACCACTGGAAGAGCGCCTTCCTCCGCTGGTGCCAGGAGAGGTGTGAGCCTCGTGGCGTCTTCGTTACCGACTTCCATCAGAGCTTTCAGGACGGCATGGCCCTTTGCGCTATAGTTGATTCTGCGCTGGAGGACAGCTCGGTGATCGGCATGCTGACTCTCAAGAGCGCAAACTCAGCGAAGAATCTCTCCCTGGCCTTCGATGCTGCTCACAGACTGCTGGACGTGCCGAAGCTGCTGGAGGTAGAGGACCTGCAGCACGAGACTGTTGACGAGCGAAGTGTGCTTCTCTACCTCGCTGTTCTCAGACTCGCGGTAGAGGGGGAGGAGCTACAGGCCCCCGCAGCCTTGGAAGCTCACGAGCAGCCTCAACTTGCGAGTCAACGTGTCGCAGCCGACATGCAGGAGTTTCCCTTGAATGAACGAGCAGCCGCTCGCTCCAGCATTCAGCGTGCGCTGTTGGGTCGCGCCGACGCTCCAAAAGGACCGGATGATGGCAGCTCGCAGCTTCTCACTGAAGATCTGACGAAAGTTTCTTCCCTGCTCGACGAGCTCCGCGAGCCGATCAGCATGGTTGCCGAGATCCTACAGCGAGCAGGTGGCGAAGAGGCCATGGACGCAAAGGCTACATTCAGGCAGCTGACCGAGCGGATGAAGAGGCTTGTTGAGGTGCTTCCCGATACGCTAGAGTGCACGCAGGAAGCATCGATCCTCAACGACTCGATCCAGATGGAGTTCAGGAGGGTGCGAGCGAGGGAGGAGTTCGAGGAGGCGTACATCTCGCGCGTATGTGAGAGGCAGAGGCAATGCCATGGCATGTCGATCGCTCTGCAGTCGCAGATACGATCAGAGTTTGAGGAGCTGCGACAGCCCGTGCGGCAGCTGCTGCAGATCCTCGATGAGCGGGAGGCTCATCTGCTCCAGCAGGTGGCTGAGATTGAGCAGGACAAGACCGCCATCCTCAAGCAGGCGCAGACGCAGGCAGAGCGCGACCTTGTCAGGTTGCAAGAGGCGGAAGCTGAGGCGGACAACCTGCTGAAATCCAAGATCGCATCGGTTTCGTGGTTGGAGACAGGCCATCGAGCTGAGAAGATCCTCAAAGATTGCGAGGCTGGCAAGGTGGATGATAAGCAGGACTTCCCCGATCACTTTGTGGACTTCTGCTGCACCCTGAACCTTCGCCTCCAGCACAACATCATCCAAGCCTTTGCCCACGTGCTCCGAAACACTGAGTTTGAGGAGCGAAAGCTGCTGGACCAGGCGGAGTTGCTGGCGTCAGGCTCGGAAGAAGTGGGTCGGCTGGGCTCGTCTCGCGGGGAAGGTCTTGACGTCATCAGAAGACACTCGAAGCGAACGACCGGGGCCGGGGAGTTTGAGTGGCAGCTGACAGCTGAAGGTGAGTGGGTGAAGAAAAAAGAAGCGGAAGAGTCGACGGCTCTCGATAAGATCATCGCGCATGCCAAGAAGCTTCCAATCCGAGAAGCCGACGAGTATCTCTCGCAGGAGGTCTGCTGCCTCCCAAGCTTGAGCCCAGCTACAAGTGTGACGTCTGTTGCAACAGGCCATACAATCTGTGCTACAGGGGTCAAGAAGTTCACAATACTCGCATGGCATCGTCAAGGTGAGACCTGGAGATCAAGAGAGGCCGGAATGATGAGGCAACAGGAGGCGTACAACCAAGTGAACTCCAACTATCTCTCCCTCCCCACCGATCTTCAGGTCTCGCTGCTCCTTCCCTTCTGTGCTTGGCAACCTTCACCTGCTTGTCGTCCTCCATCCTTCGCCCTGCATAATCATCACTTCAGGTTCGGCCCCCTTTGCTTCCGCTTGGGGAAGGGATTGCAAGTCAAGTCTCGCAAGCAAACAGGTTTTTTCGTTTGATCTTCTTCTTTCTCTTTCTTTCCCTTCCCGCACCTCCTTCTCCCTACGTGTCAGCTCTCCCTTCATCGTTCAGTCTTGCTCTGCTCCCCTCTCTTCGTTGCTCTTTCAGATCTCCTGCCTGCCTTGTTCCTGACGTGCTCCAGATCTACTTGGCCGCACGCCATGCCCAATGAAAGGAGCGCTGAGGGTTTGGCAACACAACCAAGTTTCTGCTCTTGGTCTGAAGTGGCCGACAGGAACTCTAGAGTTTCTCAGGTGGTTCCAGCTGGACTCGGAGGACTCACGGGTGCTGTCCAGCGCCTCAGTGGCTGTTTGTGCCATCGGTGGATGGGATGGAAATCAGAACCTGAGAACTATCGAGCTGATTTCCCCGGGGGACACTGACTGGCGGGTAAAACCCCAGCTGACGGCCAGCAGCGCTAACTGAAGGGGACTGACATGGTATCTCAGATGTGCACGGAGATGAGCAGCAGTCGGAGAGGAGCTGCCGCTGTTTCAGTTGAAGGAGACATATGGATTCTTGGAGGGTGGGACGGGCAGAACTACCTTAGGTCCTGCCATGTCTTCCAGCTCGCGACCGGCAGGTTGAAATCTAGCCCTCCCGCTCCTGGTCCTCTGCCTTCTGTTTCCTATCTCTCTTCCTATCTCTCCCTTCGATCGAGCCCCCATGCTCCTCTTGCCCCATTTCCTTCTCCTTTTCTCTTCCTTTCCTTAAGTTTTTATTCCTCGTTTCCGATCCTCGCTGTTGTACCTCCTCGCCCCCCCAGTCCTCCCTCCTCATGGAGCTCGAGCCTCTTCCCTTCGTCCTCGCCCTCCTCCTCGCCCTCATCTATTGCAGGTGGAAGCAAGTGGCCGACATGCATGAGGCTCGCTGCTACGCCTCAGCGACTGTCATGGACGGCAAGATCTACGTCGCCGGAGGGTATCATGGGCAGGCAAGCAGCCTCCTCATACTGCGACTCCTCTCGCCCTCTCCTCCTCCCTACTTCCTTCTGCTCCTGCTGCGACAGCTCATTCTACTTCTGAGTTATGTTGGGGAGCAGGTGAATTTGGACTCAGCCGAGGTCTGGTCTGCGGGCGAGTGGCACAAGATCTCGAGCATGTCGACTCCTCGCCGAGGCCTCGGGCTGGCGGCGCTCGATGGTCACCTGTATGCCGTGGGAGGATGGGACGGGAGGAAGAACCTGAGCTCGGTCACCAGCTGCAGTCCAGCTGAGGGTATTGATGAGGTTTCAGGTCGAGGCCTGGACGCCCTTGACGGGGAGCTGGAGGAAGATCCCGGACCTCTCGACTCCTCGTTCCTCCGTGAGACCTTGGACCTCACTTGGACTTGCTTGTCGTCCTGCTCCTTCTCGTGGTTGTTGCTGTTGTCTCTTTCTTTGATAGTCTGTGCAGGCTGCGGTGATTGCGAGCCGGGGGAAATTATTTGCAATTGGAGGATGGGATGGGAAGAATTTCCTATCTTCTCTGGAGTGTTATGAGCCAAAATATGGTGAGTCTCTTCCTCTGTCTTCTTCTCCACCTTGTCCTCTCCTCTTTTCATGTGCGTTTTCGCCGTCTATTCCTCATCTTCCTCCTCCCAGGCACCAAGCGCAACCCTGTGGGCGAGTGGAGGACGCTGCCGCCCATGAGCATTGCCAGGAGCTACGCGGCGGCAGCAGCTTACGACAACCTGTACGCCCGTACCCTCCGCCTCTGGTAACAGCATGACATCTTCTACAGGATTTTCGTGCTAGGAGGGTGGGACGGGACTGAAGGAAGGAGACTGGATAGGTGAGACAACCTCCCCTCTCTCTTCTCCCCCCCCCCCTCCCTCTCTTCTCCTCCCTCTGCTTCAAACCATTTCTGCCCTCCTTTCCGCTCCTCCTCATGCGCAACGATACTTGACTCTTTGCTCAGTGTTGAGTGCTTCCTCGTTCACGAGCATCGCTGGATCTCCTTCCCCCGCATGTCGTGCCCTCGCTATGGGCTAGCAGCTGCGCTGGTGAAGCAGAACTAGAGCAGATGCGAAGATGCCGGTGGCTATCTATTGATAAACAGATCGCAAGGTGGGAATGATTGGAATAACCTGGAGGATGGGGGTTGGGCGTAGAAGACAGGAGGAGCAAGAGTGGCTTGCGGTGATGGTATCCCGGGACATCAGTTGAGTTTGTATCCGAAGGCGGTGAAGTCGTTCTCGTACTGCTTGTAGATTGCCTCCTTGACGTCCCAGGGCAGCTTCCGCAGCTTCTCCTCCGTGCTTGCGGTTCGAGCCTTGTTGGTGGTGGGGAAGCCGAATGCCTCGAAGTAGGAGATGAGCTGAGGCTCACCGATGCGGTAGAGGATGTAGCGAACGTCCTCCTCCACGTTCTCGAGCTTGCCAAGGAAGTCGACGACAGGGCAGCCCCTATTGGAAAAAAGGAAGTTGTACTGGGGGATCCAGTGCATTTTGAAGACGGTTGTCTCCAGCTCGCTCTGATTCTTCGCCCATCGCTCGAAGCTCACGATATGCTTCCCCCGGAAGCGAGGAAGAATCGCCATGAGATAGGCGCTCATCGCCCTCCCCATCGGCTCTCTGACCAGAGAGAAGCGGAAGAAGTCGGGAAAGCGAGCGAAGGCTTTGCCGCACGCGAGGTAGGTGATTTCTTCTTTTGGGCAACCTTTCTTGCCGTTCCTGAAGCACAGCGCCTCCCTGAAGAGCTCGTGCCATGAGGTCCCTCCCGACTTGAGGACATGCACGTAGATGAAGCGGTAGCGAGGAGAGATGACACACTGCAAGAACCGTCACTTCCTTCCCGCCTCACTCCCCACTAGTCTACCCCTTCCCTCTCCTCTTCTTTCCCTCCTCTTTGCGCCTTTGTTCTGTTCAACCCCATCATTTTCACCTGAGGAATGAAGTCGAAGCGAGGTCCTTGCAGTCGATCTCTGCTAGTGACAGGATGTAATACTTCTTCATACGCAGTGGCCACTGTACCCTTTCCCGCGCATACACTCAAAGAGCAGTGTCGTCCCTCCTCCCTGAAGCAAGTCTCTTTCACCCTGTCAACGTACTTGGCGTCCTCCTTCTCATACCCCAACAGCTCGAAGTCGCGCGAGTAAAGCTGAGCAAGCAGTTGCTGCTGCCTGCCATCCAGTTTCCTCGTTGCCAGTCTTGCGGGGATGAGCCCGGGGATCATCGCGATGCTCGCGTTGCGACTCGCGTTCCGGTCCCTTTCCATCAGAACCTCCGTGAGCGAGTAAATATTGGAAGCAGAGCTGCGGATGCGCTGGAGAACTCTCGGGCCATGCGTCTCCATGTCCTCGATTCGTCCGACGAAGTCTACGCTCGCACAGCTTGTCTTGTTCAGGATGAGAGAGGTTTGGAGGAGGTAGCGAACTCCTGGCCTCTGGAGTCCTTGCAGCCATTCTGCGAAGCTCGTGCCATCAGTATTCGAGGAATTCCAAGACACGTGAGAGAAGTGAAAGGGACTGGAAACGAAAGAGAAAAAAAAGAAATTTCGCTTCTCCGGCCAGATCTGCTTGCAGCTTGTCGCCTTCATATCACAAGGCCGATTGCCACCACAGAGATTCGCGTACAGGAAAGATTTGACAACATCTGACGTGAAGCTGCTGGTCGGCATGAAAACAAACCTCCAGTTGTCAGAAACTACACACTCCTCCCCAGCAGCCTCGTCCGGCATTCCACGCTCTCCCCGCCTCGTGCTCTCCCTGCCGACATCAAGGTGACAAGGTGCAAGCTCCACAGCAGATGCGAGAGGAAGAGAAGAGTTGCTGGATCGAGAAACAAATGGAGTCAAACCAGGCTTTCCAAGGTCATCAGGACGTTTGTGAGGCCCCAGGGTATGCTGAATCAAAATAGAAGAAAGAGAGAACAGCACGATAGCAACAAACACAAAGTGGTGTCGGGTAAATCCAGTGCGTTTCTTCGTTGCTCGATAATTCATTTTCTGTCGCAGTAACTTAAGCAGTCGTCTCAAATTCATCTCTGATCTGCTTGATCTTCAGTGCATTGCAGCTTCGAAACTTCACGGTTCTGTTTCGTCATGTCTTGTTAGAAGCACAGCTAAAGCTCCTTCACCTCTGGTGGACTTCCACGACTTTCCGCTTCCTCTTGCTCGCCCTCCTCGTCGCGACCTCCCTCCTCGCCCCCAGCTCCACGTGGCGGCCATGAGCCAGTAAGACGCGGCAGTAGTACTTTTAAAAACTTTGAGTTCCTTTACTCAAAGTTAAGTTAAAAATCAGTACGAGGACAATCAGGAGACCTGACACTGTCGCACAGGCCAAACGGCGAGAAGAGAAAAGACAGCGAGAACCAAACCTAATCCTGCCAACTTACTTTGAGTAATAAATGCCGTCCCCCACCTGAGCCTGGCCGGGCTGATTTTGATCGGACTTAAAGTGACTTGAACTGTGACTGAGCCCCGGGCCCGGCCCGGGCGCCGGGCCGCCGCGGCCCGGTCCGCCGCCGCCGCGGCCGATGATCAGCCCTGGTCGGGCCGCGTCCGACGGTCCCCGGGACCGCCGGGCTCGGATCCGATCAACCGTTTGGCAAGCCGGGGGCCTCCGCCTCGGCCTTCCGGGCCCGGGGGCCCGGACGCCGCCGGGCAGCCCCGGCGCGTGCCAGGCTTAGGCTACTGAGCCCAGCGTACCGTCGGCGTACCGTACGGGAGAGCCTTTTATTCAAAGGTAAGTCAAAAATCCGATGATCAGCACGAGGACAATCAGGAGAGTAGTAGAGGAGGGTTGACCCTGACCGTACGGAGAGCCCGCCCGGACCCGGCGTCACACACAGAGTCACGTCGCAGTCCGATCTGCCAGGCCGCTGACTGCCCGGGGGCGCGGCCCGCGGCCGCCGGGCCGGGCCCCGACCCGGCGGCCGCTGAGAACTTCGGAAGGTTGCCGCACTGCGGCCGCAGTCAGTGGCACCCTCCGGGCAGTCGGAAGTGATAACCCCATTGATTGGACCCACCTTACCTGGGTAGAAGTCAAACAGCAGGGCGATAGGGGTAGTACATATTCTGACCCTGCTAGATCAACATCTGCTTTTGTCAACACCAGCAGGTAGTAGTATGGTGTAGAATGGGGTGGGGTCAAAAGGGGGGTTGTGGATGAAGGTAGAACAAGGGTGGGTGGTATGTTAAAGGGTTCGGTGGGAAAGATAAGAGGGGTGATGGACCCCTGAGATTCCGACGGGCACTTGTTGGTTACTTTGAGTACCCCCTAGGGTGAGGGCAAACGGCGTTTCACCGCAGACAAATGGGGGGGTGGGGGGTGGTGATTCTTTGGCTCTTCGTCATGCACGTCCTTCGGCTCGTGGTATGTGGAACGGTGGAAGGAGGAGGAGGACAAGGAGGAGGAGAAATAAGAGCAGTAGATCAGGAGGGAGGATGGAACGCCGGACAGAGTGAGGTCGACAATCGGGAATCATAACAGATTTCAAGACCATGGAATCGTTACCGAACATATGATAGAAGTTACTGCTTGGTAGATTGAATGTAATAGTCAAGGAGAGTGAAAGAGAGTAAGATATTTGATCCAATCGGATCATTTCATGAACAATTGAGATTTTGAGAATATACACGTAGCTGACATTAGATGGAGAAGGATTGGTTATGGTAGGATTGCGGGTACACAGCGATAGCAAAGCTATGATTTCGAAAAGGATATTGTTAGAGTTGTGACATGCTCACAGTCGCTCTACGGTGGATATCCTCACTCGCCATATTGCTTCTCGGACGGAAGCTACTGCAGTTCCGGAAACGAGAGTAAGCAAAATCAGTTTTTCCCCTTCCCTTCATTTACCATCACTACCCCCCTGATTTGTGTCAATCGGCTCCTCCTTACCTTTGTGCTCAGGCTCGGTCACTATCGCCAACACCGGCTATGGCAGCCCCACTGAGCCCGTCTTCAACGTGGTAAGCTTGCCGCTTCCCCTTCTTGTGGGGCCTAACGCGCTCTCTTCCTTTGTGCTGCTCGTGTCGAGCATCTGATATTCAAGTTGTGCAGGACTTGGGATATCAGTCTAGTGTTGGATCTCCCGCCTACTACGTTGAGTTCTAGATCACTTTACAGTTAAAGCAAAAACAATGCTGCTGAGTCTTCTGCTGAGTCTTCTTCCCAGACCTAATCCAACCTGTTTAACTTCCTTGTAGCTTGTCCTTTCGCACCGTCTTCATCATATCTCTCAGTGATATTCCATGCACATGAACGCGATCAGATACGCTCCTCGTCCCAATCAACACTCGTCGCTCTCTCCCTCCGTCTGAGTCTGGTTCTACGTGCCTAGCAATAGTCGCATGCCAGAGGTTCATCGAGCTGCAGAGGGTATGGATCTGTCTGCGAGCTCTAGCAGGCAGGAATGGCAGCACCATGATCGTCGTCTCCTCTTGTTTCAGTCTCCGTGCAAAAGTTTCGCAAACGTGGTCACCGAGGCCCGAGAGCCTGCCGGAAAGCAAGAGGTTCTTCACGTTGTAGTCCTCCCGCACGAAACCCTCCTGTGTCATTCCCTGAGAATTCAATTGGACGAGCTTGGCTGCTTCCCAGCTGAAGTTCTTTCGTAGATCGATCGCAGCGGCCGAGTTGGATGGCTGGAAAGTCCAGAGCGAGAGAACATGCTCGTTTCTTCCTGTTCGATCAAAGTGAGGAGGAGGCGGAGAGGTATGCAATGAGGACCTCGCCGATTCGCTTCCATCTTCTCCTCCTCGGTCTCCTCTTGCTCAGCCTGCATGAGAATCTTGCGCAGGAAGCCCTTGAAAGATTCCATCACACACTCCTCATTGCAGGGCAACAGGCCATCAGCAGAGAGCTCGAGTCGCAGATCTCTGTTTGCGCCTGTCTTGCTGAGATCTTCCTCTACTGCTGGCATGCCTTTGCTCCCTTCGCTCTCATCGGGTTGCAACTCAGCTTCTCTCTCCTCAAGCTTCATCCCTTCTTCGCGGGTGTTGTTTGCACTCGCCTCGATGTCGCCACATATGATCTCTTCCTCCCTTGCTCCACACGAGCACGAGACCTTTTCACGCCCTCTGCACTTGAAATCCTCGCACAACGCTTGAGGATGGCACATCTCCTCACACCTGCACGCAGTCAGGTCTCTTCCTTTTCCTACTCACGCTAACCGATGTCCGCAGCTCCTGGTGGCTCCGCACGTGAGGAAGCAAGAGGAGGAGGGTGAGGGCGAGGGCGAGGGCGAGTCAGGCAAGCAAGAGCCGGCATGGCAGGGCAACGAGCATCGATGCTTTCCACACCGAAGAGTTTTGTCACAGATTACTATGCAAGGAGGACAGGGAATGCTGCGTGGATGGCAACTGTGAGGGATGATGGGCTGGTGTCCGCAGGGAGGAGGGACACGGCAGATGTTTGAGCAGAGAGGAAGCGACTTGTCCCCGCATTTGCGTGGAGGCTTGACAGAAGTTGAACCACACGCACAGACAAGAGACGTATACACCCACTGCGAGCACTTGCGACACTTGCCCTTGTGGCACCGGTCCTGCTTGCTGGCGTCAAGGTTTGAACGATCAGGGTTGCGAAGTGGGAAGAGATTTCGAGGTCGAGAAAAGAGGAGAGGGCAGAGGGGAGCGAAGATCCAACCTCGCAGAAGTGAAGGCCGCAGGGCAGCTGCCTGCCGCAGGGCTCCGGGCAGAGGTGCAGCGGATCGTCACAGCATGCGAGGATACAGACGTGCTGTCCACAGCTGAGCATCTTCCCGCAGGTCTGATTGCAGGACCACTTGAAGCTTGTGCCTGTCACCTCCTTCAGCGCCTCATCCATGTACGCCTCGGCACAGAGTTCCCTCCTCCTCGCAACCCCGCAGGCGCATGAAGTCTCAACCTGTCGCAAGCTCATGGCAAGACAAGGATGCATCTTCTCACCACTTGCACGCAAGGTCTGCATGATCCAGCATGACACAAGTCCGGGCAAGTATGTAGCTGAGAGCAAGAAAGTTTCTTGCCGCAGACGCGTCCACAACCCTCCTCTCCCCTACTTTGTCGCCACTGCTCTCCACACTCTGAACCACAACCGCAATGCGGAACATGAGATCGGAGGGCATGTGACTTCCTTTCCGCTGCTCCCGCTGCTCCTTCTTCACCCGCAGTCCCCACGCATCCCCGGCAGTTGCTTGCTTGCCTGCAGCGGCAGTTGAAGAGGGGAACTTGGGAACAGGATCTGCACGGGCCTTCATGGCAGAGCTCGTTGCACCTGGATCAGAAACTTCTAATTAAGAAAGCAGAAGGAGAACAAGCAGAAACTGCCAGTACACCTGTGTTCACCGCAAGCAAGAAGCTTCCCGCATTTCTGCTTGCAGACGAGCTTGACGTCGGATCTCGTTTTGCAGGGCACCGAGATGCTGCTGGCATGAGCGCAGGGAGAGAAGATGGTGATGTTCTTGGAGCAGGGCAGGCACGGGCCGGGATGACATATCATCTCGCATGCATGATCGCAACCTCTCGCTGCTCCCCTCACGTCAGTTGTATCGTCACATGATCAAGAGTCTCACTGGTCAAGCGGCAGACATTCCCGCAGGAGAAAGGAATGAGTGACCTGCTTCTTTCCTGCAGCGAGTGTTTGCTGCACCAGCACATGTCCACATCCCATGCTGCCACCCCTCCTTCCGTGACTTCCTGACACATAGGACATCCCCACTGCCCGAGGGAGAGGCCCTCTTCCTCCTGCCTCTCCCCCATCCTCTTCATCCATTCCAACACCTGCAATGTTTTCAATGGGCGCACGGACTGAAAAGTCTTCATCGTCACCGTGCGTTGGGCCCATTCACGAGCACATCGTTTGTGAAGAAGCGTCCAGCATCTACGACAACTGCAACGATAAGGTATGAGCGCAAGTTTAGAGGCCGGACAGAGGCCAAGAGAGAGAACGAGGAGGCGGAAGGAGACGATAAGGATCCGGGTAGAGGAGCGCAGACAAAAAGTGTTGAGCATACCTCCAAACCTTGTTGCTTAACCTGATTTGATTCAAACAGATCCTGAGAGAAACTTGTGACATTTTCTTTCTAAAATCGCATTCAGCGCATTACGTGCATTTATACTTCTCTGCCGCCAAGTCGAGCATTAGGGACGAAGTCAGCTCTGGCAATCGACCATGTTTCTTCTGGAGGGTCTGAATCAAAGACGGAAGCAGCTGCTTCCTCTCGCTGCTCTGTCGATCCTTATCGGCGTAGTTGCGCTTTGTGGGGTTCCTAGCGCGAAGGGATCAGTGAGCCACTGAAGGTAAGCCTCCTCCCCTGCCTGCTCGTGTTGCTGTGCTGGCTGCTGCATGGGTCTGCGTTGTCTGATGCTCGCAATCAGCCGCAGAATGAGGAGCAACAGATGACGAGGATCGGGGGCCTCACCTGCTCCTCCTCTGATCCTCTCGATGTCTCGTGCGATGCTGAGCGAGGTGGATGCAGCGTGAGGGCAGAGGAAAGGAGCGTCAGTCGCCATGTCCCTGCTCCTCATCTCGCTCGTCTCCCCCGCCATCACCAGCACGAGTGCCAGCATGCGCAGTAACGCGCATTCCCGCATGTTCACATGTGCTGAGGCGAACCCGAATTCTGGGGGTAGTAGATTCCGGTCAAGAGAGGTCGAAGGAGGGAGAAGCGATCGTTTCTTCTCCGTCTCTCCTTCATACAAAGAAAGAAGATGTCAAAGAGAAGAGATGGAAACTCACGTGAAGTTGCGCCGACAAGAGGTTAGGGTTTAGGACGAGTGATCTCAGTGAATGGTTCGTGCGCTAACTTTACATACGTGTGACATGCTCACAGCATTCTATCTCGCAGTCTCTTCTGTTTCCTCCGAACAATCTGAGCGATTGCTGCCCTACGCCTGCGGAAGAGGCAGGCTCGATCGTGGCCGCATGTTGGCATCCGAGCGAGGGCTTGAAGCGTCGAGGGAGTGGTGGATTTGAAACCCTACCAACGAGGTCAGAGGGAGGAGCGAACATCTCTCAAGATCTCACAGCAAAATTGTTCTGAGAGACTGCAGCATCGTCGATTCCCTCCATCGTCAATGGACTTAGATCCATCTGTTCACTGTCACCACGGGCATAGCGTTTCCTTCCAACCTGTCCGTCATAGAGGTCGTTCTCCGAAGCAAGGTCATCCCAGCCATAGATCCCTCCGCCTGTGCCCGGCCAAGCATTGTTGTAGGCACTAGTACAGGCATAAGGACAAGCTAGCACTGACCCTCGCTCACCCGTCCACAAAGTTGGCATTCTCGCCGTCCGACGGGTCGTACAAGGACTTGGTGTCCATGAAATCTGCTCCCCCTGTCTCGTAGAACTGCTGGCTTTCCGCATCGCGCATCATCCTACACAACGGGATCATTCAGAATTAATGACGGATATTCCAGCTTCACGCTTGTTTACCTGTCGTCCATTTTCGATTCGCTGTTATCAGCAAGTGCGCGGTTGTTCCAATAACCTACATTTCAGATGCCACAACACAGTCAAACATGAAATATCAATAACATATTGAAATTTGATTGGAAGATGAAGAGAAATGTGACAAAAAACACACCTGGCCTTTCCCAATAACCTACATGATCAGAAAAGTATCCGGTTCCAATCTGATTGCTCGCCTCCTCGGCGTAACCAGGCTCATCTGCTGCTGCACCATCCCAGAATGTCAACACAGTTTGTTCCCTTGCTCGTCCCATATGTGCTAGGAGCACCACAACAAGGGCGCATCCTGCGAGCGATGCCGTCCCCAACAACCATTTTTGGGCCGATACCCTGGCCAAAGCCATGTCCACCAAGAGACAACCGGAAATGTGGACCCACATCCCCCAACCTGGAAATATGCCGCTCTACGAGCAGAAATCATAGCTCTGCTCCCTGACCATGAAGTTGAACAAGCCTGGCAACATTCATAGCAGGAGTGAAAGGATCGATCATGGAAAGGGAATGGCATGAGAATTTCAGGAGGCTAAGGGTGGAAGACACGGAATGGGAAAGCATCAAGACAGCAGCAATCAAGCAACTGCTGGAGGTGCAACACATGCTATGGACGGCAAGAAGGGGACGCGAGTCGACCTAGTCCGATGGGGGCAGGTGACTCCCGGGGGGCAGGCGCGGCACAGGGGCAAGCCACCTATGGAGCACAGGCGGCAGGGAAGGAAAACAAGCCTAGCATCAAGGAGGCAGGCGCAGCTCATGGTCATGGAGGGAAGAGGTGGGCGACTGGGGGGGGGGAAGGGGGCTGGACAGGCGCAGCTCATAGTCTTGGAGGGAAAGAGGTGGGCGACTGGGGGGGGAAGGGGACAGACGCGCAGACGTGGGCGACTGGGGGGGGGAAAGGGACAGGACAGGCCGCAGCTCATGGTCCTTGGGAAGGGAAGAGGTGGGCGAACTGGGGGGGGAA